GGAGGTTCTCACCTGTCAGGGACGCGTGTCAGCTGAGCCACCTTTGCCCTCGGGTCATTCTAAAGACCTCCACCTCTGCTCCATCCATCTATCCTCTGCCTCCATCACACACAGTATCCCACATGTTCACTGCTCACTTTATTTTCACTACGTAATGACGTAGTTAACCTCATGAAGGACAAATACGGAAAATTCATGCTTTTTTCTTTGTGTTGTTGAAGTGCAGATGTTGTGAGTCTGTCAGAGGAAGTGGAGGTCGGTTATCTGTGGGCGTTATTAACGAGTGAGTGAAGCAGGAGACGTTTCTGTCCTCGAGCTTCCTCTGTTGGGTGTCGCAGCTCGAACGTATGAGAGTTCAGAGGAGAAACACACCAGGCTCCCACAGAAGCCACACCAGCGCCTCCATAAGTGATGGTGTGAGAGTATAGAGTTCACATACAAGCCAAATATTTCAGCAGAAAACACTTAAGTTTCCCTGAAGTCTTCGATCCGTCTCGTTTTCACGACGCACTTTGAGCCGCTGATGGTGACGAGACGTCTGTCGGTGTTCAGCTGCTGCTGATACAGGATCAAATATGAACCAGGAAGTTTGTTTTAAATGCTTAAATGTTACACAAGAGCTCGAAGCTCCTGGATTGGCTGGTTTGATGTCTGAGGTAAACGCTGCTGACAGGTGTGGCTGCGTTCTGCATCTGGTAACGTGTGATTTCGATGTTTTTTTCTGTACTTGGAACGAACCTCTGATCTGTTATGGGTCAGAACCACAGGCGATATGAAAGACTGATGAAGCCACGGTGACACCACCCACTTTCTGGATGGTTAGCACCACACAGTCGTAACGTCAGGCACAGAGCCCGTTAAACACCCAGCAGGAGCCGCGGTTTAATGACGTGGGAGGAGCTGTCCACAGAGACCCAACACCTCCTTTGTCCCAGGCCTGATTTTTAATGCAGGCAGATTTTAAAGGCGTTCGCTTCATTTTTCAGCTTCAAAAATGGGTTTTAACACAACTCCATGATTATTAGAAGGCTTTAAAGTCGCGACACGTTTCGCCTCACGCTATTTGCATACCCACCGTCTTTAAAGCGTTTCAGCAGCCCGCAGATATTCACCTTCCTCCTGATGTACGTCACAGTAAAGCGACACTTTCAGACGAAGCGCTGAGACTGTGCAGACGTCAGACGCGGCGCACAATCGTGTTCAGTGATGGTGACATATTGTCGTCATGTGTTGAAGTGTATTGATGTTTGTGCAGACGCTGCATGTGAAATGGAAACAGCTGATGTCGGTACAGTTTGGTGTTTATAGTCAAAGTCGGCTCTCGAGCGTGCGGCGAAATCGAAGTGACAAGATGTCGTGTTTTGTTGATTTCGGGGCCCTTTTGTGTCTTTGCGTTGCCGTCGTGGTAAATACAGCCACGATAATGACGCTACGAGCTGCAGAGAAGTGACAGAGCTGGTGTGTGTGTGTGTGTGTGTGTGTGTGTGTGTGTGTGTGTGTGTGTGTGTGTGGGGGTGTGTGTGGTGGGGTGGTTCACTG